ACCACACGGTTGTACATGCACATGGTGCACATAAATTCATGTTGGCAAACACTTATACATAGACAACAAAAATAGGTGTTTTAAATAAGTAAATAAATACAACCTGCATGAGACGTTCTACCAACTGTCTGCTAAAGAGGCAATAATTTCATCTACTTAGAAGTATCCCCTGGTCTACGGAGCGTGGCTTGCCTCTCAGGCATCAGCAGGCACCTAGATTAAAACTTGCTGGGCCCTCCTTGGGAAGCTGGCAATCTGAATTGCCAAAGATAGCTTCTAATATCTTTGAAACAGAAACAAGGCCAGGCTGTAAGGGTGTGTGGCTGTGATTATCTCTCTCCAAAGAGAAAAGGAAGAGGAAGACCCAGTAACTTAACGTGCCATAATTAGAGCTGAAAGGAAGGAAGAGAGATGTAAAGAAAAGCTGGCCTTGGTGGCCGAGGAAGCAGCTGGGACCAGAGTTCTGGCAGCAGCAGCTGAGCCAAGCCGGTCCATTCAAGCCGGGTGAGGCAGCCTTCCCAGAGGCTGAGGAAGCCCCTCCTCAGAACAAGCACACCAAGAACTGCAGACACTGGACTCGTGGAGAAACTGCCATCGCTGGTGTGGGCAGATTGCTGACACTGACACTTGCTGTCTCTTCCAGAAAATGGAGAAAAATCAGCCTATGGGAGAGGGAGAAGCAAGCACAAGCTACAAGCACCAGGGAATGAGACGCTCCCACACTCCCCAGCTTGGGGTAGACCCAGAGATAAAGGTCCAAACCTGTTGGTTGACACCTGCAAGGAGTGCCTGGACCGTCTCGGCCAGGTGCTCCTCAGGGGAAACTTTCCCTGATCAGTGGCATAATGCTTTCTGCATACCTTTCATTACGGTTACCCACTTGAGACAAAACACATTAAAGCCAACCTTATTGCTCTCTTTTTAAAAGATCGGTATACATTTTAGGAACCTACAGATCATTATGATGACCCTCAAGAAGTGATGGCTCAGCAGGTGAGAGTGTCTGCCTGTTGAACTGAGATCAATCCCTGGGATCTACGTGATGGAAGGCGAGAACTGATTTCATTCAGCAAGGTGTCTTCTCGCCTTCACACACAGGCCACAAAACACACGGGAATGCACACACACCTCATACAGAATAAGTAGGCAAATAAATTAATTAATTAAACAGTTAAAAAAGAAAAATGACCCCCTTCATGACACACTGGAGCATTCCAGGGGCTCCTAACCTGTGCTGTCTTTCATTTCCTAAGCAAGATGGCAGCAATCATTGATTCCCCTTTCTTCTTCACTGCCTTCCCGTGTGGTAAAAGCAGTCCCCACTGGGCATCTGTGCTTACCATACGGGGAACCTTTAAACATGGTTGTGCTGAGAACAGGTTCAAAATAGGAACCAGAACCGGGCATGGTGGCTCATGTCTGTAATTCCAGCTCTTTGGGAGGCTGAGGCAGCAGGATCACCTAGAGTCTGAGGTCATTTGAGCTATGTAGCAAGATCAAAACACATATATAAACAAAATAGATAGAGGCCTAGTGACGCTCTGAGAAAGCAGTGAGCCAGACAAAAGTTTGTGCCACAGGAAGGGCTGACACAGACACTGAGGGCCACCCCAGGGACTCCGAGCTCAGCACTACGTCCGTCGCAACAGCAGACCCGCCCAAAGACTTCCAAAGAAAGTCCCAAGAAACTTGGAAATGTGCATCTGCTTCTTTTACAAGAAACAGGCATCAAGAAAGTCAATGTCCCTGTTCCCAAACAGCACTCTCAGCAAACTAGACATGGGGGCAGATATGACAAAATAGGATCCCACGCTTGTGTTCAGTAAGAGAATAGATGCATGCACCTTGTCTTGGGGTTTACTTTGCTTAATTTCTTCTGTAGTCCTGGTGATCGAACCCAAGCTCTCTACAGGCTACAGAAATACTCCACCTAAAGATACACTCCATCCTTGGGGGGGGGGGTGAAATGAAGTCCGTACTTCCTCTCGCTCACCATAAGGAATTTAGACAGCAGTTCCACGTGGAGGAGAACCCAGTGAGTTCACATCTGCTTCACTATGTACCTTAGACGTTAACTGTGCTCTGGCAGATAACGCTCTCTACTCTGTGAGAAGCAAACGGTGGCTATCAGTTAACCAAATGCCTACTTAGGCAGCGAACCTAATCCCCTTATTCTAGACAAGCAGAAACGACAGCAAAGGACTCTGAGTAAATGAGGTTCACTATGGCATTCGGTCACTACTGGTGGGTTTCTTTCCAGGTGAGCTGAAGACCCATCTGTTCCCCCACTGCTTTTCACGATCCTACAAGAAGGAGGGCCAGGATGCATGCACATTTTAAAGAACTGTTGCCTAGAGCCAACATGTCCATCCAGACCCACCAGACTCCACCCAGTCGCAGAAAAATGAGAGAACATATGCTAAGCAGTCTATTGGAGCCCCTGTGTGGAGTTGTTGGCAAGGATACCACTGAGGCACTCAGTGGGCAACGCCTCTGACCACCTGGCAGGGGGCATGGTCCTATAAAGAACATTCTGTTTGCAAAAAGAAATGACAAGAGCTTTTGCTAGCAGCACCCAGCCCTCCCCACGTCCAAGTTCAAACACAAGGTCAAAACAGGCTTGAAAGTGCCCTTACAGCAGGTTGATCCTAAGCAACAAAACAAAGAGCCAGGGGCAGGTCACAAGCACCAGGGGCAGGTCACAAGCAGACAGACCACAAGTAGCTTTAGGGCTTTGGAAATTTGCTTGCAATTCTCCTCATCTGTAAAATGAATCCTTGTACCCTGGGCAGATAGACGCTGAGACTGCCAGACAGAGGCTCAGATGTCTTCTCCCCCATTAAGTAGGTGTCTTTCAAGCCACCTTCTTGTATTATGGCCCCCTTCCCAGGTTAGGGCTCTGCCACAGGCAACCACTCCCATAGCGCCTCCTGCAGCCTCCCGCAGGCTCCTGCAGCCTCCTGCAGCACAGTAACATATTTTGACCTTGTGAACTTTAGATATGGAGTCAACTTTTGCAAGTAACTCAATTTCAAAGCACAGCAGGCCGGGGAGACACTTTGGGAAAGCTAATCAATTTACATTCAGAGCGTGGTGTTCCCAGAAGCAACTACTTTTCTCTTAGGTAATATATCAAAAGCAGAAGCAACTACTTTTCTATCTTCTTAGTGGCTATAACTTGTATAGAAATAACTCAGCTGCTGCCATCGAAAGCGTTAGCAGCCTCAGCAGAGGAGCTAGCCGCAGTGGAGGAAGCCTTGTCTGAACAAGCGTTCAAATCCAATTGACCGAGGAGCAGCGGCAGCCCACCTGCAGGAGCAGGGCAGCAGAGAACCCAGACATTCTCTCCCAGAATCCCAGCTACCCCGCCACACTTTAACATCATGAACGGGACGCTTGGCCTTTCTTTGCCCATCTGCGAAATGGAGTGATAATCCCACTTCCTTCCAAGAGTCCCACGGGTGAAATGAGATGAATACCGCAGAGTTTAGGACACTCAGCCATCAGTCTTTATTGCCCTTCTATCACTCTGGGGGGTCACCTTGACTTTCTCTGAGGTCTGGTTTCTTGCCAGTTGCCCCAGTCAGCTTCCTGGTACCCGGTAAATGCACCTCCTTGCACTTCCCCCCACCTCACCCCCACACACATGTAGACATTCTCTAATACACACTCGGAGTTCTGATCTCCTCCATCTTGATGCTGCAGTCAACCCCACCCCCTTCCTGAGCCTTAAGGTCTCACACAGAAAAACCTTTCTTAATACTTGTTGATTGATTTGCAAATATAACCTCATAGGCCTCAAAGAGGGAGGCACCGAAATAACAAGGACACTCAAATCTCATTTAAAAGGCAAAAAACTAAAAGCACTTTAAAAAAGGATGAATATGAATAGAGAAAAGCCTCAAGGAAATGTACCAAATGTCAAGAGTTAGTTCTGATGGGCCGGCTATATAATATTAATAGAGTCACATCTGTAGTCCCAGCTTGGGAGCTTGGGCTGTGTTTTTAAAGCTCTATTCTGGGCAGGAGGCACACCTCAGAAAACAAAAGTTGGAGTGGGCTTAGACAGTGCCTTGGGGCATCCCAATCAGTTGTGATCACCCTCGACAGTGAGGTCGGCTGGCCCCACGCCCTAGATGGAACTTATTGTGTTCAGTCACGCTAGGGAGTCCGGATCACCTGCTGGCACCAGCCAGAATGCCAGTGGGGGAAGGACGGGGTTCAAGGTCTCTTCCCGCAGCGTGGACTCTCAAATCAGTTCAAATGAATGTCTTCTGGGGCAGAACCCAACACCGCAGCAAAGCGACCCGAGGGCCCAGGACCCTCCCTTTTACTTGTCAGCTACAACGCCCGCGTGCCAGGAGGCACGTGTCACAGGTGGCCCCCAGGGCTGCGCCTGCACCCGTACTCCGACTGATGGGAAAAGGCGCGGTGGGACCCCTGCCTCCCCAGCAACCGAAAGGAAAGGGAAAGAGACGCGCAGGGCACTTGCCTGGAAAAGGCGGGAGTAAAGTTCTGAGATATCCCATTGCAGCCCCAAGCGGCTCTCCGTCGTCCCGTCCCTAACAGTCTCAGGGAGCAAAGTCCGCTGGGCCGAGGCGACGATAGAGCTGCTCCGCCCCTGCCCGCCTAGTAAGGCGCCAGCGGCCCGGACCCTGCCGGCCCGCGCCCCAGCCGCGTCCCCAGCCCTGCTCAGTTCTGGCAAGCCGGCCCGCGCCACGTCCTTTCCCCGGGGACTTGGCTGAGCCCCAGTCCCCGGATCGCCACAGACCCCGTGACCATGCCCAGTTCTGGATCTCGAATGCCTTTCCCGGGTGCTCCCCGCGCCCTGTCTCCGCACCCTCAACTGTCTCCGTGCCCAGATCTGGTGCCTGCTCGTCTGCGTCCCAGCTGCAAGACCCCGCACTCCCAGGCTCTGGAACTCAACCGGGGCCCCAAACAAAGAATGTGGCGGCGTGTGGCCGCCCCTGCCCTGCTCCCGGCCCGGGTACCTGGGCGAACCCGCAGCGCGATCCGGCGGGGCGATGGCCGAAGCGAGGCTGGGCTCCGAGCTGCTCGCGGGCGGGCCCGTCCTCCTGGCTGGCCGCCCGCGCCCGCCGCAGGGCCCCCTCGAGGCGGCTCGGGCAATCGCCGCGGACGGCCCGCGCACTGGGGCCCGGCCGGTCACCTGGTCTCATCACCCTAACAATCTCCAGCGCTTCAGGGGTTGGACCCCCTCCCCGCCCCCCAGGGTTCCAGACCAGAAGGACGAGCTCTTAAAACACCCTCCCACCTCGCTGGCTTCCCTAAGCACCTCGGGGGGCCCAGTACTTTAGAGACTCATCAGTTCCAAGTGCACCTGGAGAGGGAGGTTCGAGTCCCATTCCTGCAAAACCAGTTTATTCTTTCGTTCAGTGTTCAGTGTGTTGTGCCTGCCGGGACCTACAGTACCCTCCCGTGGCTTATATCTAATGGGGGCCACACACATATAAAAGAGCAGTCTTTACAGGACAGCTCAGGATACTTCAACAGCCACTGCAGGGTCCCAAATTCACACGGGGCGAGGGGGGGGGGGTGCTGGCTAGAAGTCCCTTGATTTCTTAAAATGAGCCTAGCAGGAGAAGGCAAGGTTGAAGCAAGCCAGAAACCCAGATGATCCCCTGAATAGCCTTTCTCAGATGAGGGCATACCAATAGACAGTCCATCCCTAAGATTCAAGTAGCTCGGCCTCTGTCCCAGATTTCTCATTGTGAACTATAAGAAACAGCATGCTATTTTATTGTCTTTCTAATACTTCTACAGAAATGAGATATACTGAACCTCCCTAGAGATCACAAAGGAGCTTCCATCAGTTTCAAGTGGATACCAGCAGCTCTTGATAATCTCTGATACTGTTCCAAGAACACACTCACGGTAGTAGCCTTACATCTTGCAAAAGAAGACAAACATTGCATCTGTGGGGCACAACAACTCTGAGGCTTCTACCCGGAGCCAGGTAAGGACACTGCCTGATACCAAGGTACCAACAACTGTCCTTCTTGCTTTATTGTGCCTTCAAGGAAAACCAGGATCGTCAGGAATGATGGGAAAGCAGAACTCTGTTTTCAGCGCAACCTTCATCTGAAACCCTGGATCCAAAGGTAACCTGCTGAAACCCATTTCATCAGTGAGAATGTGGAGCCTGGGCCACACTCAGTTTCCCCCTCCACCAGGCAAACAGGTGTGAGACCTTCACGGTTTGAGAAAGCTCTGGGAAATGGCCCTGTCTTCAGGAGAAGAATTTGGTCATTAGTTCCCTGAGGCAAAGGATTCCCGGCAGGAGCCACAGGCCCTGCGGAATGAAGCAACTCTTCCCCCTGCCTCTAGGTGTCCAAGAGGTCATGAGGGAGACACAGAACCCTGGGAAATGATTCTTTAGAAGAAGATAGGTAAATGGTCACATCCATCCTGCTACACATGAGGGTGAAGTAGGGACTGTTTGCCCTTTGAACTGGCAAGAAAACACCCCCAAATCCTACTTAACTTGACTAAGGTAAACCAACTGATTGGGATCAGAAACTATTCCAGATTCTGGGTTATTCCTTCAGGCTTTTTCCAATGGCCTACTCACTCCAGCCCTCTTATGAGTCACTGGGATGCCTTGCTTGATCCCTGCTGCCCGAAGGACCGATTGCATAAGCTCCACAAGGTGTTAAGACCACCCTTGATAAGAATAATGCTTGCTAGCTCAGAATGAGAAAGACTCCAGGCAAGGCAGGGGCTCTCCATCCCTCCAACAGAAGTCTTTCCTAAGATCTCCCTGCTCTGTTATCCTTACCCAAACTAAATCGTCCCTGCCGCCAGTCCGTGTCCCTCACTGATGGGGTAGCCCCAGTGGGGTGAGGGTGGATATCCTAACTAGACCCTTGTTTCTGGAATAGTGACGTGGGGACTAGTGCATGTAATGTTCATTCTTACATTCAATGCTAGTGCTCAAAACACACACAGAAAAGGAAAGCTGGACTGTGTACCCCTGGGTACTCTATGTCAGGCTGTCTGGCAGCTCTCTGGTCAGATTGACCAAAGAAGCCTTGGCCTGGCCCATCCAGAGCTAAGTCCCGTGGAGCCTCCCCACTTCACATACCATGACTTTGAATTTCCAAAATCTTAAAAAAAAAAAACATGAACAATTATCAGGAAAAGAGAGCATGTGTTGTTGTTTTTTTCCATGCTAGCCCTCCAAAAAAAATCTCAGATTTGAAAACAGAAGTGTCAAACCTACTTAGCTAAAGAAAAGCCTGCCAAGATGGCCCCTCGCTGCCAGTTCCTTCAGCAGGGGAGGGGGCTGGTGTGGCTGGAACCAATGTGGTGGTATTCCTTCCTTTCTCAGCCCTCCTCTGCCCCTCTGCGGCTTCCTTGACTCTTCCCAACCAGAGTCTGGAATATTCTTAGTAATTCTGTCTTTGATGTGAGGATTTTATTCGGAGATTGATGACATGTATTTTCCTTATTGCTTCCCTTTTCACTGAAGATGGATGTTTTCCAAAGACCTACTGAATGGCAACAGGAAACAGACACATGGCGGCAGCATCACCGGTGGTGCCACCGGTGAGGCCCTTGGGTTTGAGCGTGAACACATGCCAAGGCTTGGCCTTCAGATGTCACGTTCTCGGAGAACTTCATTGAACCCTGTGCCCTTTCTCTTCTTCTCTCTCCCCAGACATGCAGCTCCTCACACACACTGGCCAATCCCAAGCAGGATCACCTCACTTTTGTTTATTTATTTATTTATTCAGATTAAATAAAAAAACAAAACAGGACCTCACTATGAAGCCCATACTGTTCTCAAAATTCATAATTTTCTTACCTCTGCCTCCCAAGTGTTTTTTTTACAGATGGAAACACTACAGCCTGGCCTGACCCTTGTCTACATTATCTCTAGAACTTTCTACGGACCTATTGGCCAGGTGTATGTGTAACCTTGAAAAGGACAATGGATGCATAGACTGCTAGACCAACGTTATTTAGAAGCCTTTTTGAAGATGTCTCAAGTGCATCTTGGCATCTGGATCAGCACAGCGAGTAAGGACAGCCTTCCCCGATGCTGCTGTGCATCCTCCAGTCCCCTGAGTGCTGAGGAGGGACAAAAGACAGAAGAGCAAACGTTCTTTCTTCTTGAGCTTGTGAATTCATGTTGTCCTGCCCTTGAACAGATCGCTTCTGGCTCTTACTACAGCTTCCCTGGCTCTGTAGCTTGCGGGCAGCCGATGGTGGGGTTTCCTGGCCTCCATAGTCTAACACTAGCTGATCTCTGTAATAAATCCTGTTTTATAGATAAATTCTTTTGGTTCTATTTCCTGGGAAGCCTTGCTGATGTGGTACCATATTCCCTAAGCATGCACGGATGGGACAACATCTGCAGCATAGATGCTAGGGGACAGATGCAGGCTCGGGATGCTAGGAGACAGATGCAGGCTCGGGATGCTAGGGGACAGATGCAGGCTCGGGGTGCTAGGAGACAGATGCAGGCTCAGAGTGCTAGGAGACAGATGCAGGCTCTGGGTGCTAGGACACAGATGCAGGCTTGGGTGTTCGGTTTTCCTGAGACCTGGGCTCTGTTCCTGTCTGTGAATGGTGAGTGGTGAGTTTATGGATAAACCTTCATGGAGTTCTTGCCCTGGGGCAGTTCTATAAGGCCCTCTGTTCCTGGATTGGGTAGCCACAGGCAGAAAACACACCCTGAGTGGAGTACAGTGAGTCATGCTGGGTGAATCTGAGATCTCAGACTCTTCCTGATGATGGAGGAGCCTTCAGCCTTGACCATGACACTTCTGATAGATGCACATTACCTTGGCTTGACAACTTCCAGTGATAGAATCTGTCCAGTTTTGTGAAAAACCAACCCATTCAATGAATGTGGGTGGGCCTTCAGGGAAGACCTTTCTAAGAAAGGAGGCCACAGCCTGTCTCCCCAAGGCTGTGCATCAGCCAAAAAGAATACTGGGGAAAGATCTATCAAGCAGCAGGCAAAGAAGCAAGCCTGTGTTGGGCAGACATTTTGGACAGAACATGGTTGGAGGAGGGAGAATGTACATGGCATGAGAAGAGAGCCTCCTACAGGCATGGTGTGGGCACTAAGCCTGTGCCAGGGAGGGAGGATGGGTCCAGAAGGGTTTGGAACAGGAGTAAAGAACTAGCATAAAAGTAAGCCCCCATGGGAGCCTACTAGGAACGTGGACTGTATGTTACATGATTTAATACAGAGAAAGACTCAGGAGAGGGCCAGGCAGCAGCATTGCTAAGCTCATTGCTATTAATCCAGAAAGACTTGAGTAAGAATCAGGAGCCATTTCACAGGCACCTCTGATTTTTCTCTTTCTCCTATGGTTCTGGGGGTGGAACCCAGGGCCTTGGATTACCTGGGTAGCAAGGGCAAGCATTACACTCCCGCGTTTCCCTTTTCTAATCTGCAAAATGAAGTTGCTAAAACTCAAGCCTGGGCATGGGTTTGATTCCCAGCAGTCCTTAGCACTGGCCCCAACAGAGAAAAAGCTCAGGCGGTGGAATGGTGTAGAAGGACCAGTCTTTGGAGACTGAATGGAGGTAGAAAAGACTACCGCTCATCCACAGTGAGTCTGATAATGAGGGCTGGCCCACAGCATCTGAAATCTTGACAGGCCATGTTTGACACTGTCCAGAAACACATAGCCAAGCAGCCAGGTGATCATCTGGGGGGGGGGGGATCTGTGGTTTTAATTTCATTGTTATATTTAAACAGTTATGAATTAGACAAGGAAACATTATTTTATGTCCTTTTCATAGCTTCCCTCCAAGAACCTGAATGGACTTTGCAGTTAAATGAGTGTGGAGGACCTAGCCTTCATGTAAGAAGAGAGCTGGCTCAGCAGTGCAGCCTGCTTTAGAAGTCACGCATTCTTTTCCCCTTTCTGTGACTCTCTTTGGACCTGCTTATTCCAGAAAACTCTCCAGGGACAGGCAGGACTTGTACAGCTTCCTCAGCTTCCTGGATCCTTATGGTGATGTCATCTGCCCTGGCTTAGACTCTGTCACTACCTCAGAGGACATATAGGGTATGTTTTTAATTCTCACAATAACCCTTGCCTCATTGCGCTGTTTGCATACCGTGCCAGCATCTAATATCAGAATGCAGTTTCATTGCTTACATGGAAAAGCAATCAGGGTAGCCTGAACCTGTCCCTGACCCTGGGCATTGTGATGTCCTAGGGTCCAAGGGCCTTCCTGGCTCCGGGTAGAACCCTCAGAGTTGTTGTGCCCCACAGATGCAATGTTTGTCTTCTTTTGCAAGATGTAGTCTGGCACTTTAGGGTACACCTCAGCTTTGGAGGTCAAACAGATTCATATGGTCTGACAGGCAACCAGAAGCACTAAACACAAGTCATGTGAGGCATGCCGGGACACCGCTGCCTTCTACACAAAGAGAGACTTTCTCCCATTACCAACCCACACTGTTTGTATCAGAACAAATCACTATCATACCACACTCACTCATGTGCCCACCTCCCTCGTCTCTGCCTCAGTGACCTCTGGATCCCACTGGATCCCAGAATGAATGAGCGGTTGTCCTCAGAGCTCTCAAATAACACCCAAGAAACCCCAGGTCCTCCAAGACGGACCCTGAGTATGTGTGAATTGCACTTTTACCATAAATAAAGCAGGTCAACGGGCTCTCATATGTTCATTGCTAACTTAAAACATTGTTTTATTGCATGAGCATAAATGATATACATACACACACACGCACACACGAAAATCAGAGGTCAAGATTGTTGAGCTGGCTCTCTCCTTCCACCTGTATGCTGGTTTTGGATTGAACTCAGGTCTCTAGGTGCCTCAATCCACTGAGCCATCTTATTAACCTACAAACTCTGAAACACACTCCTCACCCGGACTCCAAATGCGTGCGCACACACATACGCACACGCTTGCCCTGTCTGCTCAGGCGCTCCAGCTCCCTGGCATATACTAGGAGGTTGAGTGTGATGGGCTGCAGCTGTTGGCATGGCTGCTTTTTTTTTTTTACTTATGTTTTGAACACAGCATTCATTTCCTAGAAATGACACAATAAGCAAACAAACACCCAGCTCCATAACTATTTCCCTTCCATTTTTCCAATTCTTCAAGTCCAGCGTGATAAAGCGCAGAAATTCCAGCTAGCCCTCTCTCCCCTCCCTACCCGAAACTGATCAAAAATACCAAGCACCCACCAAATGCTCCTTTCCCTTCACACCAGCCTGAATGCAGCTCTTCCCTTGACTCCCAGAGCAAGCTCGACCAAGACAAGAGAGCTGAAACACAGCAGGTCACAGTGTGTGTGTTGCACACACAACATCTTTGGATGGTTGGCCTGCTGCCACTGGCCTTGTACGAGCCCGGTGACTTGACTCAAGCTACCGGAAAACCTTGATGATTCAAAGAAAACTCTCCTCCTAGCCTCGCAGGCTTTCAGGACTGTGTCAAGTGGAGACTCCTCATTCTGCAACTCAAGCTCTGGCAAATGATCCACAAACCACAATCTGCTGGAGGCTGCCTGTGCCTCAAGACCTTCATAATCCTATTCACAGAACCAAATGGAGGGAGGAAGCTGTAGGCGTGGAGGCTGCCAAAATACCCTGGCTCCCTGACTCCCTGGCATCTGTAGTCATCCCCTTTCCTTTCCTGATGTAGGCATCACCCGTGCCTTTCCCCATGGTTTAGTGTGAGATAAAGTCTTCCAAATCGAATACACACTTTTATAGGCAGGGATGACAGTTGGGCCTTTCAATGTCAAGGTCCTGTATTTGTTCGGCTGACTGCAGGGTTCTATGAGCAGTGAAGGTTGGGCAGGTTGGTGAAAGCGTTTCCCCTTAGAGAAGCAAGCAGGTTTCTTGAGTGCAAATGGTGACGGGCTATGAGAAAGTCTCTGTTTTTAAGGAGCCCTCATTTGGTGAGTGAGAGCACTAGAGAGTTCCCGCCCTCTCACAGACGGAGGAAGCTGCCGTAGTGGATTGTAGCTAATTTCATTTGACCACACCATTCTGCTGCTCTACCCGGACAGAACGAAATGTGTCTTTTCTGATCTGCGGACACTGTCTGGGCCAGGTTCAATCCCTTTCTGGTCTCTCAACCGTGCCTTTCTCTCCACACTATTTGAAAAGCCTGGAAACCACTGCTCCGTGGCTCCACAGGTGTAAGCCACAGATGAGAACACCGGGGTTACAGGACGGGTGACCTCCAAGAGTTGACTCCTACATCTTTCTCCAGGTAGAATCAAGGCCTTCACCACACTAGGTTCTTTCCTTCCCAAGTTTTGGCTTCATCCTGAAGGCCCAGCTTGGGGTCAAAAATTGACTGTGGATGGCCCTGGTCTCATTTATCCCATCTAAGTAGCATGAAAACCCAGAGTCCCCTTCTACTAATGTTCTACAGTGATCCCTCCTAGAGATCTTCAGCAGAGAAAGACTGCCCTGGGGCTCCTTTGTTATAACCTAGACGTACTGGCTGGAAACAAAAAAAAAAGATAAAGAACTTGATTCTACCTGGGAAAAGATCTAGAAGCCAATTCTTGTAGAGGGAAAACTGGAAAAAATGGGAGATCTGTATAATCCAGACAAAGAAGGTGTAGCTGATACCAAGAGACTTCCGGGGGCTGTGCTGGTTAGGTTTTGGTCAACTTGGCACAAGCTAGAGTCATCTGTGAAGAAAGAACATTAGTTGAGGCCATCAGATGGCCTGTAGGCAAATCTGAGGGGCATTTTTTTGATTCATGATTGGTGTAGAAAGGCCCAGCCCACTGTGCGCAATACCAACCCTGGCAAGATAGTCATGGGTGGTATAATAAGGCAAGCCTTGGGGAGCAAGCCAGTAAGCCATGCTCCTCTTTTGGTCTATCCTTTAGTTCCTGTCCCTACGTTTCTGCTAGAGTTCCTGCCTATACTTCTCTCAGTGACAGGCTGTGAAGGGAAATTAAGTCCCTCATCCTCCAAATTTTTTTTTAACATACTTTTTTATTTTTATTTTTGTTTTCTTTTTTCGAGACAGGGCTTCTCTGAAGCTTTGGAGCCTGTCCTGGAACTAGCTCCTGTACACCAGGCCAGCCTCAAACTCACGGAGATCCGCCTGCCTCTGCCTCCCAAGTGCTAGGATTAAAGGTGTGAGCCACCACTCCCCGGGTCCTCCACATTGATTTTGGTAAGCTTCTTATCACAGCAATAGAAAGGAAAGTAAGGCTGGGACATCCCCACAGGAACAGAGAGGAATGGGTGACTCTTGGGGACCTCTA